TAATAATAATAACAATAATAATAATAAAATAATAAGTGGCTTTCATGGAAAGCAACATGCATAATCTTAAACCAGTTACTAAAACTGTATTTCCCCATGTAAACAAGGGCAGACAAGCCTCTTCTGATTTTGTACGTCAAAATTCAGCTGATTTTTGCACAGGAAGATTCTCTCAAAAGCTGTCAAACAAACTTACAGCTGCTCTTAAGCATGACTGCATCCAAGGTACTTATAGGCAAAGACTTCCGATACCTCTTCAGGACTCCTGCCTGCATGAGAAAGTCCATTTCCATGAGCCTTCACGAAAGATGCCTGTGGCTGAGTCAGAGATTAATGTCCTGCGACTCTGACATTTTGGCAAGTGTTTTCTTGACCCGCAGGGCTGTGAGCCGGGAGGCGGGGTTGTGAGCCCAGCACTCCATCATCAGCTTCCCCATCTGCCGTAGGCACTGCGGAGACAAACAGGAGAAAAAGTTCCACCTGGGTCAGTGGAAGAGGACACTGCAGTTGGTGGCAATGCCGAAAAATCAAAGGGAAAAGTTTTTTTCTAAAGGCAGCCAAAAAAAAAAAACCACCATGCTGGCTGGTATCGCTTTTCAAGAGCTTTTGTTTTTACACATCAGTACGTGCTGAAGTAGCTGCCAGTACACCAAGTACGCTGCTGCCGTACTATACACTACAAAATAATTTCTCTTTAACAATGTTTGGCTAGCCATTGATTGAATGCTTTTAATGATCTTAATGCCGGGAGCAGAAAGCAAAACGAGTGCAAGAAAACAAAAAGATTAGGAAGGTCTGAGCACAGCCTGCTATGGCTGTGGGATCTGGCAGACAGCACATAAGGAACCCACTGGCAAATACTTGTAGGCTGTGGCCCCAGAGGTCCTGAACACCTTCAGCAGCAATCTCTGAAAGTCATCCTCCTTCCTGAGCCTTGTTACACTGTGACTGGTGCTAGCACCCGTGGTAAAGCTCCTTCTCATGCAAAATAATGCTGAATTGGGCCAACCTCATTCTCTCACTCTCTAACGAAAAAAGAGAGGCTGTGTTTTAAAAGGAGCAATACCTCATCACTGCTCCATCTGTTGGGAAACGAAGGGCGTAGTCTCTTGATGCACACAATCTCCCGCATGTCCTCGTACGAGGGGTCGCTGGGCACAAGGTCGTGGTACGGGAGCTGGTATTCCTCAACTATTCCTGAAAGAATCAATTAATTGCCCGTCACTTGCGGAAGACACTTTTCATTACCCTCTCACCCTCTTTTTGTAACAGGTTGAGCATACTAGATGTACTTCTCCTTAAAAAGGACTTCCGTGCCCTAGAAGTTTATTCCACAGTCAAGCTCCAATGTAAGCATTGCCATGTGAAAACTGGCCAGGTATCTTAATTCAAAAGTTAGTTACTTGCCAAGTAAGACAGCTTCTACCACTTCTGTCCAGCCCAGCAATCCCCAGTATCACGGAAAGAACTGTTAGCATAGAGCCTGAGGCAGAGTAATTTGGCAGAGAACCTTGAATTAGGTCTCCTTATCAGTGGGCCTGGTATACATTAAAGGGCACTTCTGTGCCTTTTTAGAATGTGGCAAGGCACTATTCTTTGTGCACAATGACAACAACATTACAATTTCAATACTGTGTCATTGCAATACACTTTACCAGTTTGTAAATACAGGGATCATCGAGGAAATTCCTCCAGGGTAAGCATGGAGCAAGCATTCAGCACAATACTGCAGGCTTTAAAGACCCATAAAGTCTAGTGAAGATAGTGCAGACCCGAGAGACACACCTTACTACCCTTACTTGCCACCAGTCTGGCAGGTAACACTGCCAAGTTATTTCTTTGCATTTAACTTTCCTCAGTGGCAAAATAGAGGTAATAACACCCATCATTTCTGCACTACGCTGAGCTCTACGTGCAGAAAACACACAGAGCGTACGCTTACAAGGATGGATCTATGCCCCAAGCCTGCAGCTGGCTACGCTGCTTGATTTTCGCTGCCCTCACACTTAAACGCCTGATAGCAGAAGAAAATGAGGCATATCACTCATATGACAACAATGTAATAAATGCCAATTTCCTCTTTTCTTTTTTTCCTACTTGTCTTGTAAATAGATTATTTATTTCAAATAGTGGCACAGCATACCCCTAAATTTGTTTGTCCTCCTTCTATTTAAATCTAAGAAAACAAAGGAGTCACTATTTACTTTCTGCTAAAAGAGCTGAATACTCCTAATCCAGCAAAAAAAAATGTGCTTCCATTGGAAAAGGCCCCCGGATGAGTTTCATATTCCTTCTTCAGTGCAGGCATCCACTGTTTTCAAATGAGCCTTTAAAATACAGTCTAAATCTTTGCTGCTTAAACAGCACTGACTGAGGCTTTAGAATAAGTTTTAACAAGAGAACTGTTATTAAGAAAGTTACCTGTTTGGTTGATCCACATTTGTTTATTACAGTTAAAAACATTTACCCAGGGAAAAGGATGTGACGGAAGATTTCATTTATAAATGGGGTTCATTGACAGAATTAAAAGCGATCTCCCAGTTCTTTACCTCCTGAAACACATCTCCTTGCTATCTCCCAAAGGATGAGTCCAAAACTGTACATATCAGCCATGATGTACGACTGAAAGTGATTTCTATTCAAGCTTTCATCCAGCACCTCAGGAGGCATGTAACGTTTTGTTCCTACACGGGTATTTGGAGGTATGTCTACTTCGTTTGTATCACTAAAAGAAAAAAGAAGGGGAAAAAAAAAAAGAAAGGGCATCAAACACGCAATAAAGTGGCTTGAAAAGAAAGTAATTTAGATGGAAGAAGTAGTAAATTCGCACCACATCCGTTCTCAAACAAGGTCAAAAGTAATATATAATCTTAATGGAACAATTCGTATAGGAAAGCTTCTTAGTGGGAAGGCAACCCTTCTTAAAAGGCTGACCCGCCTGAGGCTATGTTAAGCATTCAAATGCAGAATCACAATGGAGATAAGACTCAACAGGGATGCTGTAACATTTGTGAGATTTCATTAGCATTAGCCTGAGCTCTAATGCTGGTGATAACAATAAAATCTTCATTAAATGCTCTTCTCTTAACATACTCCACCACCTAATGCTTCAGTCTTAGCAATTAATGGAAGACACTAAATAGCTGGGGTAGTGCCACTTAGCTGTGGCAAATCAGATCTGCAAGGAAGATGAGTCTGCCTATTTTTTGTGCATGCACTATATTTGATCATTCCCAACCTTTGAACATAAAGATGTGCAAACACAGATGTAAATGTACAAAAAAACCCTAATTAAACATGTCACAGCTCACACACTGACCATCTAACAGGAAGCAAATTCCCATTAATTATCTTACTGGATTTCTTTTTTTCTTATTAACTCAAATTCAGCTCTATCAGTTTATAGGGCATATACTGTGGTTTGCTTAGAAAGGTCTGTTTCCTCTTCCCCACTTTCAAAACTGTAAACATTTTAAATGCAAGGGATACAACAAAATATCACAGAATAATGTATAACTTCCTCTGTAATTTTCTTCAACTACAGCAATCTTCTTCATCTACAGTTACAAAAATGACAAAAAAAATAAAGCCAAGCCTAAGTACCTACAGAGTCATTAAATCACAGATATGCTGGTGGCATTTCTATATACTTCCAAGAACATAACATAAACCTAGTGACCTCCATCATCTTGCAGTATTTCGAATAAAATGAATCACAGAATGTTAGGGGTTACCCAGAGAAGTTTACAAACATATTAGCTTCAGCAGAGAACACTCCATCCAACTACTTTTTTTCTGTTCCTGGTCATTGCCTAAGAAATGTTGTCTAAGGAAGGATTCAGTATGAAAACAAGCGAAGTGTGTAATGTAAGTCCCATTTAGATTGTGACATATACATATTTCACGTTCTTTTGTAGCAACACTTTGTAGTTCCTAGCTTTCTCCGTTCAGACCTAAGCACTTTGTTGCTCTGTACTTATCAGGCAGGATATACCTGCAAAGGGTGAATTTCCTCCCCGAAACTTCTATGGCAAACAGCACTGTTCTCAAGTTGTTTTCTAGGTCCTTGTTCCTCAAAATAAAAGTACTCCTTTCTCAATTCCTAAAGAAAGGTCAGGTTCATAAAGGAAAAGCCGGACCAAGAAGCCTGGCGATAGGTAAGTGAATGTTCAGAAGAGCACGTAAAACCTGCCTTTCCTTATGCTCTGAATAATTTCAGTTCAAGATTTGCACAGAATTCTTAATTATTGTTTTTGATACTTCAGCAAGCAGAGTCTCAAAGCTGACCTCTGAAACTGCAACCTTCAGTCTACAGGCACATTTCTGTGCACAGAGAAAACAGAGACTTCATAACACACATCTCCCCTAGCAGGACCACTGCCCAGAGCTCAAGCTCCTTCTGAGCAGAGCTGTCACACAGTGATGACTCCTTTACAAATCCCAGGAGTGAGTAAGTCCTACTTGTCTGCTTCGTCTGCTCTTTCTAAGTTGTTTAAACACACAACCGTCCTTTTAAAATCAAATTTAAAAGCCATTTCAAAAATCAAATCTGTCCTTTGGCAATTTGATTTGTAGGAAATGAAACAAAAGGCAGCCCAAATGGGGGTCTCTTCAATAAATCCCAATTAGCAACTTGTGCAAATGATTACTATTATTCTCTCTAAGTTGTGAGTGAATTATGTTGGGATCAGATAAGCTGAAAGCTTCAGTGTCAAGTTTACTGACATGACTTCAACCTGTCAGTGCTACGTCCTTCAGCATGTGGCAGCAATACTCGGGTTGCTATTGAGGGCAAAGTGATGAAAAGTGAACCCTTACACAAATGCAACTAATGTGCTCATTAATTAAAAAGTGGCTATTTATACACCTGCATTATGTGTCTACGTGATATTCTCACCCACACAGGTAGCCCCACCTCACATACAGGGGAGCACAGCAGGAAAGGTACGCATGCACAACACAGGTGCTCACTCACGTGTGCACGCTCGCTAAACCAGCATTTCATGATCTGATTTACCAACTTTTCCTCATCCTCCTCACTTCCACTCACCTGATAAATTTAACAGCCAAGCCCAAATCTGCTATACAGCAGGTGCCATTCTTTTTCACCAGGATATTCTTACTTTTTAGGTCACGGTGGGCAATAGCAGGTTTGCCCTGAGTACTGAAGATCTCAGTGTGCAGGTGGCATAAGCCACTAACAGAGGAGTAAGCCAGTTTTAGCATGGCTTTTGTATCCAAGGTAGTAGATTTTAGATAATCATAAAGCGAGCCATTCTCATGGTAGTCAGTGATGAGATACAGCTGGGTCCACGATCCTGTACCTTTAATATCTGCAGCAATGAATCCTGCAAACAAAAGATTTTCAAATTAATACTTCTGAAGGCTTTTTCTGACTGCTCAGAACTCTGGACTCTCAGCCACTTCAATAACTTTATTTTAACAACATTTCTTTCATCTTACTTCCATGTAGGTATGCCTTACCTCTAGCCTTTAATGTATTGACAGAAATCCCAGATATGGAAACACAGGTGGCAGAAACAGACGTGTAGCATTTGGAGCAACAGCCCCCTAATCCTATTGTTTGTTAACTTTTATTTATGTTTGACTAATCCTTGGAAACATCTTCCTTTGGAAAAAGTGCTGGCTGGCTAATTGCAGAGCACAGCAGGTAACAAAGCACATAGGAAAGGGCATCAGACTACAGCCAATATAAGATTATTAAACTTGAGAAACCTGTACACTATCAAATAATTCTCTTTCATTTCACTCACCGAGAATGTTTTCATGCCTCATCAGGACAGTCTGGTAGATTTCTGTTTCTCTGAACCAGCTGGCCTCCTCCGTGGTAAAAAACACTTTCACGGCTACCTTTTCGCCACGCCACTTTCCCATCCAGACTTCTCCGTAGCGACCTTTTCCAATCTGCTTCACCATCTGAATCTGTTTTGCGATGGTTCTTTGAACCTGGGAAATGCCAAGGCGGGCAATTACAACTTGCTCTGCAGGAACCTTCGTCCCATGCAGCAAGCCAGGGGGAGAGTGGAACACGCGGCCACGGCAATGTGAATTTCAGCAAAGCCCCCACAATGTGGATGCTCCCCATTTGCCCCAGGATGCAGTTGCTGGTGAGGCCATTGCTGCCACTGTGAAGAAGCTTTTCCGTACATTTCCAAAACCCACCACAACCTCTCAAGGAAGTAAATTCATCTGTGTGAGGAAACATCTGACTACCAACCTTGAAATCTTTATTTTCCTGTGGAGGCTGCCACTTTGTGGATTTGTTTTTTGGTTATATTTGGAAAAGCTTTGACAGAAAACAATCCTGGCCACCCCAACCCACACAAAACCCCAAAGGGTTAGGTAACACATTTTTAATTAAAACGGGCATGTTTGTTATGTACTCAACACCATTGAGACTCAAGGCTACGGCTCACAAGAGCCAAATGCGTATCAACACTCCAAAACCCAGCAAAACTACTGGAAGCAGCTTCCTATCATCTTCCTTGAGAAAAAAAACATGCCTAATAATTTAAAAAACTAAATGTGGTGCTAAGAACATCAACCATTACTTATATAGCTAGAATCAATCTGCCTACGTTAATTTGAAGAATCTTCATTACATAGTAATAAAAACTTTTTTTCAAGAGATATGGAAGCACAGCTTTAAGTCTGCCCTTTCTGGTGTCCCTTATCAGCTTTGTCGGTGGCTGCGCTGTGAACAGATGCTGAAGTCAAACCATCTGTGCAGTGTACAATCAACGTACACAGCAGCACTGCAGAAATAGCCTTCCCGAGGATCATAGAATCAGAGAATCACAGAATTGTCAGGGTTGGAAGAGGCCTTAAAGATCATCTAGTTCCAACCCCCCTGCCACGGGCCGGGACATCCCCCACTAGATCAGGATGCCCCGAGACCCATCCAGCCCGGCCTTAAAAACTTCCAGGGATGGGGCTTCCACCCTCTCTCTGGGCAACCTGTGCCAGTGTCTCACCAACCTCATGCTGAAGAACTTCTTCCTAACGTCCAATCTGCACCTAACCATCTCTAGTTTTAATCCATTCCCTCCAGTCCTACCACTATCCAATATCCAATATCCTAAAAAGCCCCTGACCAGCTTTCTTGTAGGCCCCCTTAAGATACTGGAAAGTCACAATAAGGTCTTCTCGGAGCCTTCTTTTCTCCAGACTGAACAACCCCAACTCTCTCAGTCTGTCTTCATAGGAGAGATGCTCCAGCCCTCTGATCATCCTTGTGGCCCTTCTCTGGACACGCTCCAGCACGTCCACATCTTTCTTGTGCTGTGGGCTCCAGAACTGGTCACAGTACTCCAGGTGGGGCTGACGAGAGTGGAGCAGAGCGGGAGAATCACCTCCCTCGACCTGCTGGCCACATACCTCTTGCTGCAGCCCAGGACACGATTGGCTTTCTGGGCTGCACATGCGCACTGACAGCGCAATGTTGAGCTTCTCATCCACCAGTACCCCCAAGTTCTTTTCTTCAGGGCTGCTCCCATGTAGAATCATGGACTGATTCTACATTTAACAAGTTTTTATGACTACAAAAAATTCTTGGACAAATGGAGACTAACGCATTCTCAAAGGATTGGAGCACGTCCACAGATCATCTATTTCTAAAAGTTCACAAATACCAACTCAAGTAGATGCCACAACACAACCCATCAATGTTCAGGGTTGACGCAGACTCACCCTAGTATAAGAGGGGATAAAAATGTCACCCTCTTGTGTTTCTGTGTTGCAAGTTCAGCCCACAGCTAATGATTTTTGATTTGGTAGGATTTTCCAAGATTTTGAAAGAAAGTAACTTCACAGCCTCCAATGCAAGGAGTTTTTCATCTGGCACAAGCAATTGGCAAAATCTGGACAAATGTTAAGTTTGAGGTCTCTCAGTTTTGCTGCCATCCTAAAGCAGTTTTATTGCAGCAAGCGTGCACTGTCTGAATCCCTATGAAGTCATATGCATTCCACAGAATCCCAAATATTTGTACGATCTTGGCTAACAGAAATGATCAAAACTTGATTTTAAAATTATTCGCTTCCTTTGCTATCCCTGAGAGGTCCAGTGTGGTACTGCAGAGCAGGATTGTCAGGACCCCACTGCAGCATGTCCAAAGACGAACTCATAACCTATTAGGTGAGGTCTATTACCTTTCATTTGGTAAATAAATTACTGGTTTTAACGTTAGACAATTTAAAGAAGAAAAATATACAGTGGCATTTATGCAAAGCTATATCAAGTCCCAGCTGTCGTCTTCTGTAATTTAAACAGAATTCCATTTTTTCAGCCCTGTAATGTATTATTAGGCTTCCAAGATGGTGGCTTCAGTGCCATTATTCTTAATTAACATCAGTGAAAGCCAAGAACAGAGATTAGCCTTAATTTTAAATAATGATTTATTCTCTTTTATATTCTCATGTAGTGATCAAACAATGGTTATATTACTTTGGAATTTTGCTGTAACATTTTGTAATGTCATTTTAGCATTGTTGCTTTCTATTTTGCCCATTTTAAAAATGCATCCTGAACAATAATGCAGTTACATCAAATAACTTAATTTGTGTAAATATATGTAATGGCATCATAAAGTACACGGAATTACAATACTTAATGATGTAAAGTTCCTTATTAAATTACATTAAGAAAATGAAAAACACATTTCTGTTATGGGTTTTCAGGCGGCAGAATACTATATGAGAGGCCTTAACCTCGTTTCCTCTTGCTAGAACTGGTCAAACAATTTCCTTTGGACAATTTATTTTATTTTAAGGAATTTAGCTCTTTCTTGAATCATAAACTGATTATAATTTCTAAAACAAATCAGTTAATCAAAATTCTTGGGTGAACTGATTTCATAAGCATGCTGAACCATGTGCTCATATGAATTATTTACACTGAGTAGGGTTGTTGTTTTTCATTCCTTCTCAGATCTGTTTATTTTGCTGCTTGAGCACTGTGAGCAGCCAGGTAACGTTACACGGCCCTTTGTTTCCTCTCCCTGACTGCAATCAGACCAATTACCAACTACTTCTACTTTCTGCATTCTATTTTTCTGATATTCAGCTAAAAGTGTTCAGCTACTGCAGATGAAAATTCAGACAAACTAACCTTTTACATCTTCAATATTTTGAACAGAGAACTTCATAACTATGGCTGGGATGCAGTCCCTTGAAAAATGAAATTAATTGGAAGAGGAAATAGGAAAAAAATACGTGGAAATAATTCAGCAAACTCTTCATACAGACCACTGAAATGAGTGTCTCCAGTGTCTAATCTCCCTCCCTGATTTTGCATGAGGATTCACAGGGGCAACAGCTTTACCTACACTTCTTCCTCTGTCAAGGCCAATGGGGCTCTCCTTGCTGGCACAGACTGGAATGTACATCCCAGCTTATTGGCTCAAAGCCTTTATTTACAACCTACTGAATTTCTTTTTCTTGGTTTAAAATTTGATTGGCAGCATTTTGACCTGCAGCAAACTTTTCTGTCAGAGGTAGAGACAGGTCAGGAGAAAGAACGTTTGCTGAATGTCAAAGTATCAATAAAATCTTGATTAATGCTTGGCTTTGGCATAATATTTGTACCTGTTAGAATAAATGTTCTGCACAGAAGGAAAGAATTACTGTTCAGCATAAAGTGACACCTTGTAATAAATTTGCAGCCTACTTTCCTGAAGTAATAACTCTGGATGTTTCAATCTTTGCATAAGAAATAATATAGTTAAAAACAACTCTTCCACAATAAAGTCTACAGCATTATTGCCAGGTACTTTCTATATCCTTGATTCAGGCATGGACCCAGAGGTATTATTCTGTACATTTCTGGTGAGCCTGTAGCAGTTGTACTGTCTGGGAAATGCAGCAAACATCTATTACCAAGAGCCAGATTCATTATAGCTCTCATTTTTCTTCTCTTCCACAAAAAATCACTACCTAAAGGGGAAAGTCTGGGAAAGGAATGTATGCATTTTCATAGGCTGAGTGAGAGGGAAAAAGAGTGCCTTCAGGAATAACACTCAGTGTGCTGGCTGCAAAGTCTCCATGTTTGAGAGAGGAGGACTGGCAGAAGACAGGGTGGTTTCTGCTTCATCAAACACTGGCACAGCTCTGAGAGCTACTGAGCAACAAACCAGCTGAGATGCCACCTCAGCGGTTAATAAGAATCTTAGAATCATTATGGCTGGAAAAGACCTTCAAGATCATCAAGTCAAGTCTACCAGACCCATTTCTAAACCATGTCGCTGAGCACCATATCTAGACAGCTTTTAAACACATCCAGGGATGGCAACTCAACCACTACCCCGGGCAGCCTGTTCCAATCTTTAACAACCCTTTCAGTGTAGAAGTTTTTCCTAATGTCTAACCTAAACCTCTCCTGGTGTAACTTGAGGCCATTTCCTCTTGTCCTATTGGCTGTAACATGTGATAAGAGACCAACATGTTAGCAGACATTAGTCCTTCTGTCCACTGCAAGAGTACACCTGGGGTCACCAGTAAGACCACAGAACCAGCTCGCTGGAACAGAGGAAGGCATGAAACACAAGTGGTTACCATCAGCATTATTTCAGCTTTTTTTGTCTCAAGGGCATCCTGGGATGAAGTACTGAACCATGCCCTGCTACAAAGATGCCCCAGGGCACCTGCAACCCACATGTGCTGCTGGAAACACATCCTCTCAGAGAAAAACAACTGAGTTCCTCATGTTTGCTCTAGATGATTGTGTTATTTCTGTTACTGCACCGCATAAGAGCACTAAGCGAGACCAAGACATAAGAGCACCAAGCGAGACCAAGACATTGACGTGGCAGGTGTTATGCAAAAAAAAAAAAAACCACAAGTGAAAAAGCAAGAAACCCTCACAACTAAATTAACTGGAAGCATTTTTTAGGTATGGTCCTAAATTGTAGACATGAACCCTCCCTTTCCATGGCTGCTAGTGGGACAGTGGTATGAGATATGACAGAGCTTTTTTAAAGCCTAGCACTAAATGATGGAGTTTCTCTCAATAAAGAAAAATGACTGTGGGTTTTCCATGCTCAGCACCACTCACAGCACCCAGTTGGCAGCTGGGCTTTTCTTCCTCAACAGCAATACTAATTGTTAGAAAAATGGTTTTTTTAAAAAGTCAGCTCTTTATTTAAATGGGACTGGAAGCACTTGCTCCTGCCAGGAAAAAAATCGTTTAGTCACTTCTTCGCCAACCACTTAGCTTGTTGTTTCATTTCTTATTTTATTTCTTCTTTACGGTGTAGAAAAAAAGATGTATGGGCAAAAAAGGGATAAGCAGTATGTAGTACTTGGAAGTTGGACAACATCTACAGTAACAGGATCACTACAACCTAATAGGTTTCAGAGACAGGAGGGACATATCATCTCTGAAAAATGAAAATTAATTCTAATTCATTTTCTCCAAGGTAGTACTTTAAATACTTAACCTGGCTTTTATTTCAGTGCTAAAAAGTAACGATGAACACCAGAAACAAAAAACCCTGGTGAGCAGAACTGTTTTGCCACAAAAGGTAAAAATTCTGCCTTTTCAGCAGGTGAGCTCAGGGGGCTCAGTCATCCTAGAATCAGTTCAGAAAGAATCACACACTCCATCCCCGTGCCTTTAACCTCCGAGTTTGCCACACCACAAGGAAAAATAACTCGCTCTTGACTTCTGAATGCAAAGTGAAGTCTACACATAAAAAGGTTCCAAGTTTGACGAATTACAGTTCCCTTCACATAAAGAAGACGTGCCAGTGTTTTGAAATGCGTGTTGCACGTAAAAAGCAAGAAAATAAGATGAGCGGGCCAGATGTTGTCCTGTACACTGGGGTAAATCCTGACGAATTCCTGTGAGCTCTATTAGCCCGTACTACCCTATGATATCTTTAATAAGAAATATGCTAAAATAAAAAATAAAAAACTATAAAACAAAACTTGAGCTTTTTTGGCTTAGTCTACATGAAAACAAAAAGAAAAGTCTTGCTTCTAAAGCAGCTGCTCTCCAGCTTAAATCCTTGTCATTTCTGGGAAAGAAAAAAAAATAACAGCTGAGGACATATATTTATAATTTCTTGTGCCTCATTTTGCCTTCTCCCTCTACTCATTTTTGCGGTTTAAACTTGCATTAAAATAGTATTGCTTCCTTACCAGGAGAGGGAGCCCGGAGCCGCTCCCTGAGCTCTGGGACTGCTCGATCAAATCCTTCAGGGACTCTCCAGGGGGAATGTAGGTCTCATCCTGCTCCAGCCCGATGCTGTAGCGGGGCCTCGTCTCTTGGCGTTTGTATCTGGCATTTCACATCAAAGTGACATTAGCTTTGAATACAATGAGCACTTGGGCAACAAATAATGTGCACCATCCTTCACGTCTGCTTTGTTTATAGACTCACAGCTGCTTCTGCTTCCCTGAAGAATATGCTGGACTCACTGCCCAAAATGTTACGTTTTATTTTTAGCAACTGTTTTCAGTTTCCAAACTCTTAAGTATAAAACTCAAAGACCATACAATCTGGTGTAAGTTTGCAAAGCAACTAAATGTTTTTCTTTCAGAAACTTAAATGTGTTTAAAACAAAGAACAAGCAAATACTTTTGTTTTACTGCAGCGGTTCTTTCAGGAGTTAAGGGAAGTTGGGATCTGAGACTATTTAAAAAACATGACAAATTATTTAAACATAATGTATTCAGATAATGACAACATTCTAGACATATTTACTTACATTCCTGTACAAGTCTCTTTTTTACAATGAGTTCATCACAACATAAACACGTTTAGAAGTCTTAGGTTTATTTACCCCATATAAATTTTGTCCTGTGGCTTTCTTAGACTCAGTAAAGAATAATGTGTGCTTCTATCTGAATGGCTTTTTAGGATGTCGAGCAAAAGATGCTATATGAAATACATCAGACAGGTATAATTGTGACTACCATGAATAAAATCCAAATCTTTCCTCATCATAAAATTACAATTTCTCATTTTTTCTCTTTAAGGTCCACTTCATTTTTTTTCAAATTCTTAGATCTGTAAAAAGATAAATGTTGGAAGCTAGTAAAGTGTTCCTTGTTTACCTGAAGTAGCAGAATATGATAATAAGCACTAGAAGTATACTGCAAATCGTCACCGAGATCAGCAGGGCCTTATGGTGAATGTTTCCTTCAGCAAAGTCTGCGGTTAAAAACAAGGAAGATGGACAATTTGGAACAGGACGTGGTACAAAGTCAGTATCAAAAGACACACACGGCTTAAAAAGCGCGGCAAGCACATGTTTGTTTCCTTTCTTTCCTACCCAAGTCCTGTGCAAGAAACCCCTGGGTTTTGCATGTTTCTTCTTTGACCCTCTCCGGCCAGGGCAGAACCAGCACCTTCAAAAGCCTATTTGAGTTTTCAGCCCTCACTCAGGCAAAAGATCACCTTGATCTGCAATTCCCTGTTTGGCTCTGAATGAAAAATCAGTGAAGACCCATAGCTCTGTGTCTTAATCTAAGTGATTGGTCAGTATCTGCAAAAATTACAGCCTTTATCTTAAATCACTCTTATTAAGTAGCATTCTATTGAGCAGCTAATATTAAAAAGTAAGTAAATGCATTTATCCTAGCAGTGAAGACACAGTGGACAATCCAAGAAGGCAGGCCACTGGAAGCCTTGAAGGTGTTATTTCCACCCGTACAGAATAATCCCCTCTCTCAGATCCTGTTCTGAACTCCTGAGCAGGAATTTTCCCCTCCATTCTCTCTCTGGCAGCCCTGTGTGCCAGCAAGTCCTCCCTATGCCGGTGGGCAACACTATCCTTCCAGCAACTATTCTGTAGAACACTTTGAAATGTGTCAAATAACTTACAGAAAATGTCATTACATAGGAACCATCACAATGTTTCAATCAATCTTGGCATGGGAGACTCATATTTTCCTTTCAAGTGTATACACAAATGTGCATTCTCAACTCAGGCAAGTGAACATTACCTTCACGAGTGTTCCTCTGCTGAAAAAAACAAAGAAACCAAGCACTATTCTTGTTCAAGCTCCCGCAACTCCCAAAGTCTCAAAATTATTGTATTTCAGCATGTAGACACACATGCTACCCTCCCAGAGTTGCTATATGGTACAATGCAAATGAGGACTATGCTTTCTGAAGCTCTCCCAGCCTTCTGTCTTGCATCTTTCACATTAATGCCTGCCATTACCTGCTCCAGGAGTATTAACAATGTAAATACTGAAGACACGGTCGATGCCTTTGAAAGGGAACACTGATATGATGTCTATCAGGAAAACACCGGAGCCCACCATTCTCCTCTGCTGCAGCAGATTTCTACCTGGCCAGCCGAAACCAAGAGCCCACCGAGGAATCCATGTGTCTCTTGTGGAGGTGATGGCTGCTCAGCAGGGCTTAAAGGCTCTCTAGTTCATGCTTTGTAAGTGGTCTGTGTCAGCCAGCCATTCCCCTGTAAATCATGTGGTGTGTAATGGTTTAAGATGTCGAAGCCCATCAGCTGAGGACTGGATAAACAGAGCACACAGACCATACAAGTGGGACTTGGGAGAAACGTGGATCTCTCTCTGCAGCCATGGTTTTCCCACCTCACAGAATAAGCCACGATGGAATTTGGGCTTTTGGGCTCAGCAGTAACGAATGTTGATGTCGGACACAGAGGGAGCAATTCAGAGCTTGCTCATACTTGTGCAAGTCAGAGAGCAAAGCTGTGGAAGTCTGTGTATTTACACAGGCACCAAGTGTTGTACTACCAGAACTTGTAAAGAACCCACTCATGCTGCCTGTTCAGCTGCATACATTTGGGAGAGGGACGATAAAGATGCTAAAATCTTGATCAAATGTCAATTAGTTAAAATTACCTAAAACCTGTGCTCCATATTTCATATAGGCTTCTCCCATTCAGAGAAATAAATAAACACAATAATTTTCCCAGAAGCCCCAGAAGACATTTCAGAAGTGCTGTGTAGCTCTCAAACAAACTTCAGACTCCAACACTGTAAAGGTTTTTGGTACCTAAACGTAATTACAATAAGGAAGTGCAAGGGAAGCATGCAAGACATAAAGGAACATGTCTTGGTCTCTGTGCCAGGAGTGGCTGATGCAGGCTGCAGCAGCAGCGATGCTTACACTCTCTGCAGTAGGTGATGTCCCCCACACTGGCAGTGTCAGCTAACACAGCTTCAGTAGTGGTTCACTACACACAGCATGGGCACACAACTAGCTCTCACAGGAGAGGAGAATAACTTCCACATGGTTTTCTATTTATTTGGCTTCTTATGACGAGAGGCAATACTGATGATAAATCAGCTATTGTCTCACCTTTCAAATACTTCCTGCGTTTTCAAAGCATTTTGGCAGAATTTCATTTGCTTGCTGACGTGAGGACTTCATAAACCCGCTGGCATGTGGACAACACAAGATTAAAAGCATACCCCCGTTCTTACACCAGCAATGTGTCTGTTCTGCTGAACTGAGCCAGGCTGGTGCTGTGGAGACCAATTCTATTCTCTTTCCACAGGCCATGCTGTTGATGGCAAATCTCCCTTTCCTTGCACCAATTCTGGCACCTCCTTGACCAGGTGGAAAGATGGGGCAGCTCACCTGCGAATCACTTAACTGGCTCATGGGCTTCATGGTGAAAGACTGTGGTGGGTGCCAGACAGTGCCAGTTTGTGTGATGGAGATACTCTGTCCTTTAAGAAGTCTGGTGCTGTGCTTTTCAGTGTTATGTTACCTGGCAACTGCAACCTGCCAAGCAGCAGCATTGTGAGAATAAGCAGCAGCTGCCACGAGGCAGCAGTAAGTTATTACCAAGAGTGCGGTGGAAGGAGAGCAAAACAAACAGGCAGTAGGTTTGGGAAGCTTCTTCACATGCCTTGGCTGGCTAGTAATAGCTAAGCCCAGCAAACGGCACGTTAACACCTTTTATGTTGTACAAAAACAGCAGTGCATGCCAGTGTCAGTGGTGAGCAGCAAAGAAAGGGAGAAGAGATGGCAACAAAAGGTGGGTCTTTGGTGATACCAAGCTGCCTCTCGGTTATTTTCCCGCAGCTTCCCCCTCCTCCACCACTCATTCCCGTCACTCTGCCACCTGCGGGATAGTGCACTGGAAATGCCACCCAGCAGGTTCAAGGGAGAAGTCAGCATATCAAAGGGAGAGGAGGCTCTCCTCCCTCCCCAGGTCCCTCCAGTTCACAAAAGTTACGGTTATCCAAGTAAAAACTGCAGTGAAATCTGAGGCGTGGAGACTGTGCGCACACATCAAACCCCATCATTCCTCCAATCAGTCCCTTGCCCATTCATCACTAGCTCTACAGGCAGGGAGCCAGACACGGTGGCACCACCACTTCTGCTTATATAGGCTCTAAATCAGTAAAGATGTATTTCTCCTTTCGACCGGTCTCAGCCTGTGCTTTCGCTAGGATTTCCAGGAATATCTTTTATTGTTTAAAGCAGAGGTGTTGTATCAGATCCAATTATGACTCTCATTTCCTTAATAAGACAGATGTATAGCTGGGATGAGGACTTCATGGTTTCTCTGGAGTGTTTTATCCTGCTAGTTTTGTACCAAGATGAACTAAAAACTTAGGCTTAGCTGCTGTTTCTTCCATCTTGCTTAACAAATCTTGCTTTGACCAGTGTTAATTCTTCTAGTTCCCACTTTCATGTATGTGGTCCCCTTTTCTTTTCG